GACTGGAGGGACTTTAGGCAGTATTTCTCAACATAGGGGTTGGGAAACCTGGGGGGAGGTTACGAGCGGGTGTCAGAAGGGTTGCCAAAGACCACGAGAAAATACAGTATTTTCTGTTGGTTGTGGGGGTTCTGTGTGGGAAGTTTGGCCCAATTCTATCGTTGGTGGGGTTCTGAATGCTCTTTGATTGTTGGTGAACTATACATCCCACCAACTACAACTCCCAAATGTCAAGGTCTATTTTCCCCCAAACTCCACCAGTGTTCACATTTGGGCATATGGAGTAATCGTGCCAAGTGTGGTCTAGATCCTTCATTGTTTGAGTCCACGGTGCTCTCTGGATGCAGGTGAACTACAACTCCCAAACTCAAGGTCTATGCCCACCAAACCTTTCCAGAATTTTCTGTTGGTTGTCGGAGTCCTATGTGCCAAGTTTGCTTCAATTCCATCGTTGGTGGGGTTCAGAATCCTCTTTGATTGTAGGTGAACTGTAAATCCCAGCAACTACAAATACCAAATGATAAAATCAATTTTCTTTGAGTGATGGTCACTCCTTGGGTTAGTAGTGTCTTGTGGCCAAATTTGGTGGCAATTCCTCCAGTGGTTTTTGAGTCATGTTAATCCCACAAATGAACTACATTTTTATTTATATTGATGTTCTCATATTCACTGTATGGGGATACAGACATAATGAAACATGAATTTAGAAAGAAAAGAAAGGAAGAAATAAACTGTTCAGCTGCATACTATCCACAGAAAGGTAATCCAAAATATTCCCTCCAAAATGCTACTGGAAAGGGGGTACTTACTTGAGTGAAAGTTTTCAATCTCAGGTAACATAGGAATAGGTCTTAGGGCCATGAATTAAGGACAGTGCAAGGATCTTCCCCCCTGAAATCATGCTAGGAAGCAGATGATCAGCAGAAGAGAATCTCTTATTTGGCCCACCTGTCTGTCTCTGATGGTCATCTGAATGCCAGAACTAGTTGACATTGCAGGACCATAGGGAATATGCTCAGTGCTATGAATACACATGAAGAGAGCCACAGGTAAGGCTTAAGACAATTTTAGAAAGCAATCCAGTTACAGACAATACTTGCAAGTCAACATTTTGCATTAACACTCACTTCATGATGAGTCAACATTTTGTGTTAACATTCATGATGGTGTTAAGTAAATAATAAATGGAGGTTTCTAAAATGCATGTAAAAGCTTGTGGAGTGGAAGTAAAATGTTTGCTCGTGCAGTGAGGATGCTTACTCTGAATAAGAATGATTTTAATCCTCCAGATAATGAAAAAGGAACTGTTTTCCCATGTGTTCATGATTCGTCTTTCCATTGTCTTAATGAGGACATCGTGAATCATTCTGAGGTCAGATCTTGTTTACATTTGAAGTCAGTGCTTAATATGGTTTTCATGGGTTTCCATCTTCTTTTCGAAAACCGTTGTTTTAAACATATACAGAACGAGCATGTATTTCTATTTCAAAGTTGTATCTTAAATATATAATTTTTTCAGGATACACAGACAAAAGTTTCGCAGTGTAACAAGCTGGCATTATCTATTGTCCAGGTGGTTTAAACCAAGTTATCTTTTACCTATTGCTATTTTATCATCTGCTTCACACCTTCAGCAAAGCTACAGTCTCAACCTGACCTACTGAAATTGAAAATGTAACCTTCCCAAAATAACAGATGAGGGATTCTTTGTGTTGACATTTTGTGTGGATCTTATTCTCTGAGTCTGTGACCTACCACATGGAGAAACTTCTAAAAACTACCGACTTGCAATACCAGAGACAGTTACAAGCGCCTGGAGGGGTCTAGATCCATTGAACTACTCTTGCAGTGTTAACTCTAATGATCACAGAGGTTGAAAATAATGGGGAAAACGAACAGCTCACTCTGCTAAAGAGTGTTGTCTTGGCAGTTCACGGTGCTTGTGACTTCATTCTTACATCTAAAATCACAAGACCAAATATATTCTCCTGTGATTTAAGCACTGGAGATAATGAAAAATTGTGCACAATGCAACTGTACAAAACCAACAAGATATGAAACCCATTATGTTTTCAGTAAATTATTTGGTGCATTTAGGAGAGAGCAGATGAACATGTACAGGGGCTCAGGCATTCAAGATCAGCACAGATGATTAAAATACTATATTTATTGTGATTGCAAACTCTGGGAGGGATCCAGAGAACACCATAAGAAGATTCTTCCAACAGAGATTTGAGTTTGAATGGCAGCCGCCTTCTCTTGCCATACAGCTAATGTGTTTTCAAATCAAGGGGACTGTCAAAAACAGTTTGTGTGATATAGCATGAGGGTTTGCTGTTACGAGATAAAAAGCCCTAAAAATATCTTTGGAAAGTGACCTATGTATGATATGTGAACACTCACTACATTTTCAGTTTTTGCAAAATGTTGGAAACATGATTGACTTGAACTCGGAAAATGTTTTCCCAGTGTCTCAAATTGTAACTGTCATCCGAGAAAGGAAATCCCAAGTGATCTGAAGTGCTCAGAAATGATAATTCCTTGTAAAATCTTTTGTAGCTTTTTCTAACCACAATTTGCCTGAAATAATAAATTTAATTGCTAACAGAGCTGAGCTGCCATACCCCACTTTTTCACCCATATGGCCAAGGAAAGCACATAACTTTGTAGTATAGGAGACATGTATCAGAATCTCACTATAACAGTATTACATTTCCCTGTGAAATATTTTATTCCTTTTGCTTTCCTTTTTAACTGCTATTATTATTATTATTATTATTATTATTATTATTATTATTATTATTTTAATGCTTGTCTAATGCCATCTTTTTCATATTTTGTTTTACTAGCATATTTACCTGGTATTGCCTGGGTATCAGAGGGGCCATTGCACACCTGCTTTCATCTTTCTATTTTCCTCTTCTCATAATTTTCTGGGGATGTTTAGCCTGAAGAAGAGAAGGCTGAGAGGAGACATGATATCCATATATAAATATGTGAGCGGAAGTCATAGGGAGGAGGGAGAAAGTTTTTTCTCTGCTGCCCTGGAAACTAGGATGAGGAACAATGGCTTCAACCTACAAGAAAGGAGATTCTGTCTGAACATTAGAAAGAACTTCCTGACTGCGAGAGCTGTTCAGCAGTGGAACTCTCTGCACCGGAGTGTGGTGGAGGCTTCTTTCTTTGGGGGCTTTTAAACAGAGGCTGGATGGCCATCTGTCAGGGTGCATTGAATGCACTTTGCCTTCTTCTTGGCAGGGGGTTGGATTGGATGGCCCACAACATCTCTATGATTCTATATATTTATGTAGGCATTTATTTTCTTAGTTATTGCTTTCTTTGCTCTATTGTTTTCAATGTTAAATGTTTTTAATATTTAAATGTTTAATTTTAAAGTAATTGTTCCTTTATTGCTTTGTACTTTGTTCTAATGGGAACTACTTGTGCAGCATGCCATAGATCTTGCAACAGCTTTGAGGCCCTGCAATAATTTGAATATAAAAACAGAATATATAAACATGAGTATTAAAATATTAAAATACAATATAAATATATAAAAATTAAAAAGTAATGTTCAGATGGGCAAAACAAAAATCTTGTTTTCATAGGGGTATGGAATGCTAAAATTATTTAGAAATGGGAGATGAGATGTGTAACAATATTTAAAGCAATATAACTTTTTGAGAAATCACATTTTGAATCAGAGATGGAACCAATCTATATAAATAAAATGTAAGGTTCGTTTGTGGGATTAACATAACTCAAAAACCACCAAATTGATACCAAATTTGGACACACGACACCTATCAGGCCAACGAGTGACCATCTCTCACAAAAATATTGAAAAACATAGTGTAAGGGACTTAAAAAGCCAAAAAACAAAAATACAATACAATGCATGTGCATAACCACACAAATACACATATACACAAATATATACATACACATATTATACACATATATGCAAACACAAAACACGTATACACAGACTGGGCCACATCAATGTGTGGCAGGGGATGGCTAGTATATGATAATTTCACTCAAGGAAACTAGAGCCCTATCTGCAGTGACCATTTAATGCAGTCTCAAGCTGGTATTGAAAAAAGTGGTTACTCTATGCTGATAATTACACAAGAAATCCTGGAGCCTGTTTTGAGACCAGATGGTGATTCCACAAACTGACGTGCATTATGGGGTTACTTTCACATGGATTTGTGGGAGTTTGTTGTCTGGTTGCTGCTATTTTAAGCTAGCTCCAAACTGCAGTAAATGATCAGTGTAGATGTGTTCTGAGTCCTTGTCAAAACAGCTCGATACATTTGGTGTCCTTGACAGCCCAAAACAAAATAGATTGTACCTGTGACTCTTTCTTTTGGGGATTCTTCTTGCATCTATATATGAGTATTTGTGCATGCACATACATCAAGTTGTTGCTGTGTTTGAGAAAAAGGAAGATTTTCCTTAGGGTGATACCATTTAGACCAGGGGTCCTCAAACTTTTTAAACAGAGGGCCAGGTCACAGTCCCTCAAACTGTTGGAGGGCCAGATTATAGTTTGAAAAAAGCATGAATGAATTCCTGTGCACACTGCACATATATTTGTAGTGCAAAAAAACATTTAAAACTATACAATAATTAAATGAAGAACAATTTTAACAAATATAACCTTATTAGTATTTCAATGGGTAGTGTGGGCCTGCTTTTAGCTGATGAGATAGTATTGTTGTTGTTGTGTGTTTTCAAGTAGTTTCAAACATAGGTTGAACCTGAGCGAGGACCAGGTAAATAATCTTGGAGGGCCCCTGGGCCTTAGTTTGAGGACCCCTGATTTAGACACTCATGAAAAGTCTCCCTTGCCTCAAAAAAAACCCTTTCCTTGATTGTATTGGTTTTCCTGTTATTGCATGGCCTAAAGAGATGACAAGTTTCATGTGGAATGCAAATGTACAGGCAAGAAAATGCTAATTACTGCTTTTTTTCTCCTGTCTTCCAACTTTCAGATGCTTAAGAAACCCATTGCTACATTGGTCCCAGTTCCACCGACTCGCTGCTCAAGAGGAAACACACTCCCTGTTTCATCAGCCAAGCACAACTGCACTTTGCACTGATTGCTTCTCCGTCTCCACATGGCCTTTCTACTTGTGTCAGCATACCTTTTGCTGACCCGTGCCCACGGTACTCCAGTTGAGAATGGGGCCCTCATGGAGACCCTGAAGTCGCAAGTCCTCTTGCTCAGCAATAAGAGTGAACACTACTCAGCACAAGTGAGACCTCCTGGGACAAGCAGGCGAATACCTCAAACAATCATTATCGGAGTTCGTAAAGGTGGGACGAGGGCTTTACTTGAAATGTTGGACGTGCACCCGAACATTGTGGTGGCAGCTACTGAAGTTCACTTTTTTGACTGGGATGAAAACTATGTGAAGGGAATAGAATGGTATAGGAGCCTGATGCCGTTTTCATATGAAAATCAAATAACTATTGAGAAAACACCAGGCTATTTTACCTCGCCACAGGCTCCCGAAAGGATTCATGATATGAATAGCTCTATTAAACTGCTGCTTATTCTCAGAGACCCCACGGAGAGAGTTATCTCTGATTATACCCAAGTCTACTACAATAGACTGGAAAGCCACAAGCCGGTTCAGCTCTTTGAAGACATTGTTATTAAAAATGGAGTACTTAATACCAAATACAAGGCTATCCAGAGGAGCCTGTATGACATCCATATGGAGAGGTGGCTGAAACATTTCCATTTGGATCAAATTCACATAGTAGATGGGAATACTTTGATCAAGGACCCGCTTCCTGAACTGCAAAAAGTGGAAAGATTTCTTAACCTGCCTTCCAAAATCATGTCTTCAAATTTTTATTTTAACCAGACCAAGGGGTTCTATTGCATTAGGAGCGATGGAAGAGAGAGGTGTTTACACGAATCAAAAGGGCGCCCACATCCTATTGTCAACAGTACTGTTTTAGAGCAACTGTACTCTTACTTCAGAGAGCACAATGCAAAATTTTACAGAATGATTAAACATTCTTTTGACTGGCATTAGTTACTTTTGGGTTGAAGACAAAGATTTATATATATAGTCCTGCCGTAATTTATTTGAAAGCACTTCCTTATAAACTTTGGGTTGCATTTGCCTTGATGTGAAGACCAGCGTTTGCTTCCCTGGGTTGTAGCACTAGGAGTCGATTATGTTAAATGGCAGGCACGCTTTTAATCTGCGGGATTCATATTGGCTTGTAACTATAGTAATGAACTTGATTGCACCAGTCCAAGGCCACTGACTTCAATGGAGTTATTTCAAAGTTACACGTGTATAGCCGAACTAACTCATTTGTCTCTTTTTATTCAAATTTATGAGCAAATGGAATCTCACAAATAACCATTCCTTAACTGATGGGTTTTTTAAAAAAAAAATGTGAAACTGAAATGGTATAATTCTAATATATGGGTTTGTTGGCTGCTTTTATTTTTCTCTCCAATTCCATGACAGTGAGATTGATTTCTAGAAATTATTATTATTATTATTATTATTATTATTATTATTATTATTATTATTATTGAAAATGGGGAGTTAAACTGGCTCTATTATTTTTAAATCTTTTTGTGAAATGAAAATTGTGAAGTATATCCAGCTTAAATGAGTTTGGAGAATATTATTTCCCATGGATCTCCTCCGTTTAGATTATTTGTATATTATTACCCATATGAGTAAGAAAATTGATTAACCTCTTTGAGCAAGACTTCAGCTTTTATTATTCACAATACAAGTAAATGAGGGCTCTAAAAATTGTCCCGTTTGACACCTAGACATCAGAGATCACACAGCTATACATTTAATCACAAATATTCTGAACCAACTGTTTGTTTTCAAGTACCCTTCATTATTACACACTTATTGGACTTGTTTGTATTTTGTAACCATTTGTTCCAATTGTTTATATTACTAATTTGGCACAGAATTTATAGCAAAAAAATTAATTGCCTGCTCTCCAATGTGTGGAGTAACTTTTGTAATATCTATTTGCAAATCATAAGATGTACTCAGAGTGCAAAGTAACTTTATGTGGTATTGTATACTATACACACAATATTCAAAATATCAAGTATGGGTTTCTGATTTATCTATAAAATTATCAATCTATATAGGTGCATTATGATTTGTTTGTTTATAATATCTTTTTATTTGACAGTGTAATGGGTTTCTCTCGTTTGAAATATTTGGCTTTTTCTTTGGAAACTCACAGATTGTTTATTGATGGGTGTTGTTTGTTTTCCATGTGTGTTAATTACATACACAGCATGTGGAGAAAATATGTGTACATAATGAGCCCTTTCTATTTACAGGTCTCCAATCATGCTTATAGATAGAAAGGTCTGGGAAACCATTTGCAATCAGTTCCATCATCAACACCAAAGAAACAAAGCAAAGAAGCTTCTGCAAAAAAAAAAAAAGTTTTCAATCATAAATAGTTAACACAGAATCACAGAGCTAGAAGATAATTTGAAGCTTATCTAGTCTAAGATGCTGATTTTTTTATTATCATGTCAAAGGCAAATTGAGAATACTGCAAGTCGCTTCTGGTGTGTGAGAATTGGCCGTCCGCAAGGATATTGCCCAGGGGACGTCTGGGTGAGTTACAATCCTGTGGGAGGTTTCTCTCATGTCCCCGCATGGGAAGCTGAGGCTGACAGACAGTAGCTCACCCTGTCTCCCAGATTCAAACCACCAACATGATCATCAAGTTTGCAGATGACACCAAATTGGGAGGGATAGTCAATACTCCAGAGGACAGGAGCAGAATTCAAAACGATCTTGACAGATTAGAGAGATGGGCCAAAACTAACAAAATGAAGTTCAACAGTGACAAATGCAAGATACTCCACTTAGGCAGAAAAAACGAAACGCAAAGATACAGGATGGGGGAAGTCTGGCTTGAGAGCAGTACATGTGATAAAGATCTTGGAGTCCTCGTGGACAACAAGTTAAACATGAGCCAACAATGTCATGTAGCGGCAAAAAACCATTGGTTTTATGGTTGACAAGGCGATAAAACTGCTCCGACACACAGTCGTAAAACAATAAACCAATTAATTTTTATTTACAATCTATATACATAGCAGAGTTGCATGGCAGTCTGCTCACGGCAAACGACAACCTCAGTAATGGCTTCTAGCCTACTTCTTCATACTCAGTAGAACGCGCCTCCTTCACATTCCATACAAGGCATTATACGTCACACACAGGAAGCAAGAACTAACACACTTAACACTATGTCTGCTGAACATTATTTCATATGCATGCTTAGAAGCATTAAATCACATTTTGGAAATCTACATAACCCAAAATACAGAAACTGACCCAAAAAAAGCCAATGGGATTTTGGCCTGCATCAATAGGAGCATAGTGTCTAGATATAGGGAAGCAATGCTACCCCTCTATTCCGCTTTGGTTAGACCACACCTGGAATATTGTGTCCAATTCTGGGCACCACATTGAAGAGAGATATTGACAAACTGGAATGTGTCAAGAGGAGAGCGACTAAAATGATCAAGGGTCTGGAGAACAATCCCTATGAGGAATGGCTTAAAGAGCTGGGCATGTTTAGCCTGAAGAAGAGAAGGCTGAGAGGCGATATGATAGCCATTTATAAATATGTGAGAGGAAGCCACAGGGAGGAGGGAGCAAGCTTGTTTTCTGCTTCTCTGGAGACTAGGACACGGAACAATGGCTTCAAACTACAAGAGAGGAGATTCCATCTGAACATTAGGAAGAACTTCCTGACTGTGAGAGCCATTCAGCAGTGGAACTCTCTGCCCTGGAGTGTGGTGGAGGCTCCTTCTTTGGAAGCTTTTAAACAGAGGCTGAATGGCCATCTGTCAGGATGCTTTGAATGCAATATTCCTGCTTCTTGGCAGGGGGTTGGACTGGCTGACCCATGAGGTCTCTTCCAGCTCTATGATTCTATGATTCTAACCTTTAAGTCTTCAGGTCAGAAGTTCAGCCGACACAAGGGTTTATAACCCATTGCACAACCGTGGCTCTCTAAGATTGTGATGATGCAGGGAATCAATTACTTCAGCTTCTCCAATCCAATCCAGCTCCTGTTTAAAAAGCTTTTTCTGAAGGAGTGCTTTTTGCTCCATTGTCAAACACCTAGTAAAGTCTTCCTAATGTTTAGTTGCACTCCCCCCCACCTCCACCTTTTTTTCAGCTGGTTCAACTGTACACTTCAGAGCCACATAAATATTTGAAGATACCCATCGCATCAACTCTTCCATTATTCCTATCACACATCACTATAACTCTGTCAGGAGAAAGCCATGCATGAAAACCTCCTTGTGCCCTAAGCCCTCATGTTTTTGCTGGAAAAGCAAATCACTCACAGAAACACTGCAAACAATACCATTACACCTGTGTCTCTACAAGAGAATCAAACATCTAGCCAAAAGGAGGGTGAGGGGGGAGGATGGAAGGGTACAAGTATAGTAGAAAGCTCAAAGAGATCAGCAGTTTCGCATACCTGTCAGGTTTCATATCCTACCATAGGGAAGCATTAAAGTGACCACTGTACTTACTTTCTTTGGTGATCCCTTGTTGGAGTATGATGGCCTTCCAAGTATAATGTCTTGGCGGTGGATGCATAGGTGGCTGTGGAGCCCTATTCTTGTTCTGCATGTTCTTCCACAGTAAGGACATCGGTTTACAGGTGGAAGGTGGTCCCGGTCAGGGTTGGCTTGACATGCCTTCTTCTTGGTATGTTTCTCCTTTTCACCCTCCATTCATGCCTCTTCAAATTCCACAGCACTACTAGTCACAGCTGACCTCCAGTTGGAGCACTCAAGTGCCAGGGCTTCCCAGTTCTCTGTGTCTCTGCCAAAGTTTTGAAGGTTCACTTTAAACCCATCTTTAAATCTCTTTTCCTAGATAAAGCTGAGCAAATGTGCTTCACCAAGGCGGAGACATTGCATCTCATCCATTGTCTCAATATGAAAGGCTACAAGGCATGAAATATATTGGGGAGGGAGGGAACAGCTTGAATGACACTGATGGTCCTTGCATCCCTCATGACTACCCCTTGCTCCTTCCATCTACTGATACCTTTGCTAGTGAGTTGAGTTGGGCAAAGGTTTGGGGTAAAGGAGCCAGATTGCTTATATCCTCAAGATCTTGGAAGGCCACACTAAAAATATGGCAAACTTCTGGGTCACTTCCAGTTGGGAAAAAAACCTTGTGGGCTCAAAATGCTGTAAACCAGGGGTCCTCAAACTAAGGCCCGAGGGCAGGATACAGCCCTCCAAGGTCATTTACCCGGCCCTCACTCAGGGTCAATTTAAGTCTTAAAGGACTTGAAAGCACACAACAACAACAACAATAACAACAACAACAACAATCCTATCTAATCAGCCAAAAGCAGGCCCAAACTTCCCATTGAAATACTAATAAGTTTATATTTCTTAAAACTGTTCTTCATTTTAATTGTATTGTTTTAAAGTGTTTTTTGCACTACAAATACAATATGTGCAGTGTGCATAGAAATTCATTCATGATTTTTTCAAATTGTAATCCGGCCCTCCAAGAGTTTGAGGGACTGTGACCTGGCCCTCTGTTTAAAATGTTTGAGGACCCCTGTTCTAAACTATAAAGGGCATTTTTGAATACACAAATCCTTCCACATTTGGGGAATCATGGGAGCATATATATTCTGAGGCTCACACTTTGATTTCAACTGCTTGATTAAACCTCACATGTATCCCATCGAAGGCATAAGGTAATACAGAAGATTCATCCTTTTTTATCTCCACAAAATCTTTTGTGAAATAGATTAGACTAGGAAAGTGTGTTACCACAGCACCTTCACTTGAGAAACACACTAATTTTATCTTATAGTTAGCCTATAGCCATCCTACCAAGAAGCCACCATATCTGTTAGCCATTGATAGCTTTCCCCCCACTAATTTGACTAATTTTCTTTTAAAACTACTGCCACCTATTGGACTATTTACTAAAACTCCATATTTTAACTATATACTTTGTAATGGATTTCTGTAAATAAAGAGCAACACTCAAAAATGGGAATTCTAGACTGGAAACAATCAGGGCCAGCAAACACCTCCCAACAAAGGATTCCCCCAGGTAGGAACAATCGGGCTTTTCAGCTGCAAGCCATTCAGTGCTAATCAAGGTGGCCAATTGCCACATTCACACTTGCCTCAAACAGACAAGAGTTCTTCCTCTATAAACCCTACATGCCTAGTTTCCAACAAACCTCACAATTTCTAAGGATGCCTGCCATAGATGGGGGTGAAACGTCAGGAGAGAATGCTTCTGGAACATGGCCATACAATCTGGAAAACACACCAACCCAGTGATTCTGGTCATAAAAGTCTTTGACAACACAACTTCTGTTTTGTTTGTCCTAACTCTCCCATCATTTAGAGCAGTGGTTCCCAACCTGTGGGTCCCCAGATGTTTTGGCCTACAACTCCCAAAAATCCCAGCCGGTTTACCAGCTGTTAGGATTTCTGGGAGTTTTAAGGCCAAAACATCTGGGGACCCACAGGTTGAGAACCACTGATTTAGATGTACTCTATTGCAACTTTCTCCTCAAGTTACATAATTTTATACACCTCCGTCATGTCCCCTTCGAGTGGGTTTTATAAAAACTCTACAATAAAAAACAGCATATTTTAGTCTTTTCTCACAAGAGAGTTGTTCCTGCTTCCTTGTGGTTTAAATTGCCCTTTTTTACAACCTCTGCAATATCTTTCCCTAAATACACCAATCAGAACTATACCCTGTAGGTTAGATCCAGTCTTTGACACGAGACACATTTAGTCATAACTCAAGCCAAATGAATTCCATTTCTCTTCTTTCAATATGCCTAAATTTGAATCCAATCCAGTATTCTGCATCATAGATTTGCATGGCAGCATTGGCAGTTTCCCAATGATCCCTAGCATGAAATTAGCTGCTTCTTTTTTATATAACTTGGCTCTAAAGCATTGTCAAGATTTCTTTCCTGGTCAATCCATGATCAGCCTCAGCAGTGTAGAAATCAGGAAAAAAATGCCTCAAGATGCACCGGTATACTTATGCCCACTGACCTGTAGCAAACTGCATTAGCCATTTTATTGTTCATTCC